CTCCTGCTACGGCCGAGGTGACGCCAGCGCCATGGCCGCCGCTGGCCTCTGGCTCCTCGGAGGCCTCCTCGGCCTCCGGGAACTCCAGGGCGACGTCGCTGCCGTGGTCGAGCAGCTTGCGGTCGGCCACGCGCGCGCGGAGTCTCCCCGCGTTGAGCATGGCCTGCTTGGCCAGCATGTCGAGGCCGTAGGCGAGGGGGGGCTGGTCCTCGGACAGCGCCAGCTTGGCTCCCTCCTTCACGCCCTCGTCGGCGAGACTGTTGCCCGCCCTTTGCCGCCAGGTAGCGCGGTCTGCTACTGCGTCCGCTGCAGACGCGTGGGCCAGCACCTTAGCGACCGTGTAGCTGCGGCTGTCGTCGAAGGCGGTGTAAAACGCGCCCCACAGGTGGGCCCTCGACGAACCTGAGCGGCAGGCCCATGCCGCGCCTCTCTGGGGGGAGGCCACTGAGGCGGCACGATCGGTCTGGAAGTCGACGTGGCCTGCCCGCAGGAAGGCCGCCATGTGGCACGCGTAGCCCCCTCCATCCCGCGCCTCCTGCCGCTGGGCCATGGAGAGCGGGGCCCGCCCCCAAGCAGCGGCCTCCAGGCGCCCTTGGCTGTCGCTCTGCACGAGCGACCAACCTGCGCGCTGAAGCTCGGGCCATCTGGTGCCCACCGCGCTGCCGTCGGTGAAGATGAGGCCCGTGAAGGGTCCTGAGGCAGGTCGCCTTTGCCGGTGTACGGACTCGCCCTCTGGGTCGCACCTCGGGATGATGCGGTCGAGGGACGGGAACAGGCACCTGCTGAACATCTCCCCGCAGATGCCTCCAGCATCACGCGCCACCTTGGCGTGCCGTAGATGCTCGGGAGATGCCTCAGCGCGTCGGAACTCCGCCTGGCCGTCACAACCGCATGCTCGATGCCGCGATGTGCCCGGGGCCGCTCTGCATCGCGGGCAGACCCAGTCGGAGGCCATGCCTCGCTTGCAGAGCCGCCTCTGGGTGAGGGCCGTGCCCGAGATGACCGAGTGGAGGGCAGCCCTCTGGTGGTGCCCCCAGCCGCTGGACTCCTTGGCCTTCTCGAGCCTCTGCAGCACGCCCCAGAAGAGGCGGGGGCCCTGGTGCGGATGCAGCTCGCGGGTGGCGTCTCTGTCGGACCACCTCTTGGCTGACTCATCAGCCAGCTCCTTGCTGAACGCCGGCGAAACTCTGGCCAGGTCGAACTCAAGCCCGAGGTCCGTGGCAACGGCCCTATTGTCGGTCATGGTCCGACCTTGCCTGCAGATGGCGAGGTAGAATGCTGCAACAGAATCTCTGCGCGCGGCGCGTGGCCGCTTGGACTGCCCGCGGCGCTCTCTGGCCTTGCTTAGCGCGTGCGCGGTGGGATAGCCGACCCAGGGCGCCATGCCGAATTGCTGCGCGACCTTCCCCGCGTTCACGACAGCGGGGCCCCTTTCGATGCCCCTGGAGAAGCAGCGCAGCCTCAGGGCCGACCGAGGCCCCTGCCGCGAAGGGCCCTTCGCCCGCAGACGCGCGCAGCCCGTGCAGGACCGAGGGTGCCAGGCCCGTCGCGGCCGAGCCCCAGGTGGCGGATGCCGTAGGCCCTCCCCTCGCCACTGTGACGACCGCGGCGCCTGCTGACCGTAGGACTTGCAGTCGTCTGGAGCGTGCCAGCGCACCATCGACGCGCTGCGCCGCGATGGCGGTGGCCCTCTAGCGACCGTCGTGCACGTCATTGCCGTGGGGCCTGCCTCGGTCAGCCCTGCCGTCGGTGGACGGCCACTCCGCCTCCAGCTTCTCGGCCGCGTCGGCGCTGGGGGTGAGGAAGCGCGGCTTGCCGAAGTGGACGCGGGCACGCTTCTCGTCGAAGCAGGCCAGGAGGGCGCGCGCGGCTGGGCCCAGGACGGCCTTGACCATGCCCGTGGCCCCGGCCGTCTGCAGGGCGAAGTCATCGAGACGCTGCCCAGACTCGCGCTCGGGTCGAGGGCCGCGACCTTCTTGAAAGACCTGTAGAGCAGGAGCTTGGCGATCCCTGTCGCGCAGGGGCATCCTGCGAGCGCAGTGCCTGCTGCTCGCAGAGGCGCGCCGCATGCTCCATCCACCGTTATGACCCTGAAGCCCGAGTACATGACGCTGTACGTTCTAAGCATTCTGACTGGGGAACCAATGGCCTGCGCCTCGGTGAGGAGCTCAGGAGCTCCATGTGGCTGATATTATTGTAGAACTTGCGTAGGTCGCCTAGAACCATGACGGTGCTGAGCATCTTCTCGTACGCAAGGGCCGCGACGGTCTGGTGGGCCAGACCTGCCCTCTCCCATTTGATCAGCTCTCCTCCGGTGGGTGCACCAGGCCTCGCGGTGCTGCGCCTCCCAGCGCCCGACGCTGGGCCTCCTCATGGCCGACCAGAGGCGCGCGCAGCTGCAGACGGGCGGGCGCAATCGACCTCCGGCAACCGCCTGGCTTGGCGCGGACGACGATGACCGATAGTCCGTCAAGGTAGGCCGACGGGGTGTCCTCCCAGCTGGCCATGACGTCGATGATCCCGTGCAGGAAGGAATCGTCTAGGAGGAGCAGGTGTCGCGGATGTAGCTGATCCCATCCCAAGCCTGCCCAGCGACCGTACCTCTGGAGCAAGAACAGGATGTCGTCGACCTCGAGGTTGGGCAACGGCTCAGGGGCGCCCCAGCTGGCCGCCTCCTCGAGCCCTCCCCTGCGACGCGAGTCGCACCAGAGGGGCAGCCACTCCTTGAGGCAGTGCTCCACGGCCTCGTCGCCGTTGACGGGGAGGGCGAGGTCGTCGTCGTCGTCGTTGCTGACCAGGCTGGTCTTCGGCAGCGGCTCAGGCTTGGAGAAGCGGTGGGCAAGCTTCCCTCCGCTAGTGGCTGAGCCCTTGGCCCATGCCTGCCACTGCTTGCAGGCCGCTGCTGCGTCGCTGCGCCGGCTGGCCTGCCGCCGCGCCCGCGCGTGCTCGATGGGCCCCCTCCGAAGGCCCGCGTCGCCCGAGGTGGCCTCAATGGCCAGCTCGCATCTGCTGAGAGGGCCCCGCTGTCGTCGTAATCGGGAGCGCTGATCGCGCCTAGGCGGCTGCGAAGGCTGTGTAGGCTGTGGCTGTCGCCCCCGCGAGCCGCCAGCAGGTCGGCGCGCTGCGGCGGGCTGACCAGGCCACCCCAGGCACGGGTGGCGCGCGAGCTGAGCTGTTCCCAGCGGCGGCGGGTAGCATCTGCCAGCGGCGCCCGGACGGAACGCACGCCCTCGGCCCTGCCGGAGAACTCCCCGGCCGCGGGGCCCTGGGGAGGCAGCCGATCGCCCTGTCGAAAGGGAAACGCGCCGTCCCGTGTAGCTGCTGAACTGTAGTGTCGGCGCGCAGACCTCGGAACTCTAGGAGAACTGGACTGCGCGGGCCGATGGGGGCCTCTGGGACAGGCCCGTGGCTGAAGACGAAAGGCTGGAGCTCGTCTGCGATGGCCGCGAAGCCGAGCTCGGTGAGGTCGCCCGCCCTGCAAGTCGCAGCACCAGCGCGTAGCACGCAGCCTGTTGCCGACGCAGCCCACGCCGCCACCTGGAGTGGTTCCATGTTGAAGTCCCCCGCGAGGACCCAAGGCCGTTGGGCTACCCTGAGCCGCGCTGCAAGGTCCAAGGGGATGTCTCCGTTGGCCTCGCTCATGCCTTCGCCGCCGCGGAGGCAAACGGACGCGAGGTCGATGGCGAGCCTGTCTCCGAGGTTGACCATCCGACTGGGCACGCGGCGAGGTTGGAGGCACTTGGTGGCTAGCGTGGCGACCGCAAACTGCTGCCGAACACCGATGCCCACCCCTTCCTAAGACTGCCTGTGGGCCCTCGCCCGTGCTGAGCCCTGCTGCAAGATCGAAATTGGAGCCGTGCTTCCTATGCCATCGCTGGACCCCTTCGCGGCGTCCTTCACGAATGCTTGTCTCCTGAACGACGAAGGTGACGTCGGCGGCTGCCCCCTCGCCGCGGAGAGCCTGGGCGTCATCCAGCCAGTCGAGGAAGGACCTGTAGACCTTCTCGGTGTTTGCGTTGATCGTGAAGACCCAGAGGCTATCAAACACGCTGCTTCTTGGCGAGCTTCTCGAGAAGGCCGCAGATGCGCATGCGGCGCTGCTCCTCCTCCTCGCCCTCCGGTGCGTCTGCCATGAGGCTGTTGACGAGCTCGTCGGGGGCAGGGACTGACTCGCCACCTCCAGCGACTGCATCATCTGCGCGCGCAGCGCCATCCCCGCCACTGCTGCCAGCAGAAACACCAGCGAGTGCCTCGGGGGCGGCAGCCGTGTCGAGGTTCTCCTGGTCCATCTCGGCGACCTCCTGGAGCTAGGACAGGCCCTGTAGGACGGCCTGGTCGTCGACCGCCGTGGCCTTGAAAAGCTCGAGCACCTTGGCCAAGACCATGAGTCCGTCCCCGAGGACCCTCGTGGCGTGGCGGGACTCGATCTCGGTGTCGGCGGACTCCAGCTTGGCCTTGAGCCCAGCAGCGTGCCCCTTGGCGTCGCTGATCTGCTTGTCGGGCTTGGCCCTCTGGTCTCCGAGCTCCTGGACCTTGTAGACTGCCTTCTGGCGCTGGCCCTCGAGCTTCTTTTTCTGGCCCTGCAGCGCGGTGATGCTCTTCGGCTCCGGCGGTTCGGTGTACTTCGTCGACGCAGTTCGCCGCTTGCTCCCCACCTGCGAACTTCTTGAGCTCGGCCTTGAGGTCGCTGAGGGCGTCGAGCTTGTCCCTCGTTTTGGCGCCGGCGAGCTCGTCGACCTGCTCGCGCAAGGCTGCGAGCTCACTGTCCTGGCGCTGCTGCTTCGCGATCTCACTGGGGGCCCACTTTTGCCTGGCCCACACTCCACGGGGCTGCTGGTGGCTGCTCGGCTGCGGGCCGCCCTGGTTGGTATCCTTGTGGGCCTCCTTCGCGGCTTCCTCGACCTTGGACGGGAAGCGCCTCCCGCAGTCTCGGCACCTGAGCCAGCTGGCCCAGTTGGAGTCGCACCCGCAGGCGCACATCCAGAGAGGGGTCTTGGGAC